ACATGTTCCTATGACTATGAGATTATGCAACTCCCGTTTACCGAAGGAACACTTTGTGTGCTACCAAACGTCACAACGTAACTGGGTGATTATGAAGGTGCTCTACAAGTGTCTCCAAAGGTACATGTTGGGTTGGCGTATTTCGAGATTAGGATTTGTCGCTCCGATTGTCGGAGAGGTATCTATGGGCCCTCTCGGTAATACACATCACTTAAGCCTTGCAAGGAATGCAACTAATAAGTTAGTTGCAAGATGATGTATTATGGAACGAGTAAAGAGACTTGCCGGTAACGAGATTGAACTAGGTATTGAGATACCGACGATCGAATCTCGGACAAGTAACATACCAATGACAAAGGGAACAACGTATGTTGTTATGCGGTCTGACCGATAAAGACCTTCATAGAATATGTAGGAGCCAATATGAGCATCCAGGTTCCGCTATTGGTTATTGACCGGAGACGTGTCTCGGTCATGTCTACATTGTTCTCGAACCCGTAGGGTCCGCACGCTTAACGTTACGATGACAGTTTCATTATGAGTTTATATATTTTGATGTACCGAAGGTTGTTCGGAGTCCCGGATGTGATCACGGACTTGACGAGGAGTCTTGAAATGGTCGAGACATAAAGATCGATATATTGGACGACTATATTTGGACACCGGAAAGGTTCCGGGTAAGATTGGGACAATACCGGATCACCGGGAGGTTACCGGAACCCCCCGGGAGGTATATGGGCCTTATTGGGCCTTAGTGGAAAGGAGGGGAAAGGAGCAAGGGAAGGGGCGCCCCCAAGCCCAATCCGAATTGGGAGGGGGGCTGCCCGCCCCCTTTCCTTCCTCCCTCCTTCCTCTTCCTTCCCTCTCCTACTCCTAATAGGAAAAAGGGGAGTCCTACTCCCGGTGGGAGTTGGATTCCCCCCCTTGGGCGCGCCACCCTCCTTGGCCGGCCCCCTCCTCCACTCCTTTATATACGGGGGCAAGGGGGCACCCTAGAGATACAATAGTTGATCATTGATCTCTTAGCCGTGTGCGATGCCCCCCTCCACCATAGTCCTCGATAATATTGTAGTGGTGCTTAGGCGAAGCCCTGCAACAGTAGAACATCAAGATCGTCACCATGCCGTCGTGCTGACGGAACTCTTCCCCGACATTCTGCTGGATCAGAGTCCGGGGATCGTCATCGAGCTGAATGTGTGCTAGAACTCGGAGGTGTCGTAGTTTCGGTGCTTGATCGGTCGGGCCATGATGACGTACGACTACATCAACCGCGTTGTGCTAACGCTTCCGCTTTCGGTCTACTAGGGTACGTGGACAACACTCTCCCCTCTCGTTGCTATGCATCACCATGATCTTGCATGTGCGTAGGAATTTTTTTGAAATTACTACGTTCCCCAACAAGGTAGCCCAATCCTTTTGAGGCAAAGGACAGGCCAAAACGGTCTCTTATGATAAGCAAAGCGTTCTTGAGGGTACAAGGGAATTTCATCTAGTCACTTTCATCATGTTGGTTTGATTTGTATTCACTACTTTGATAATTTGATATGTGGGTGGACCGATGCTTAGGTGCTATTCTTACTTGAACAAACCTCCTACTTATGATTAACCCTCCTGCAAGCATCCGCAACTATGAGAAAAGTGCTAAGAATAAATTCTAACCATAGCATTAAACTTTTGGATCCAATCGGTCCCTTACGGAATAGCGCATAAACCGGGGTTTAAGCTTCTGTCACTCTCGAAACCCACCATCTAATTGCTACTCCACAATGCATTCCCTTAGTCCCAAATACGGTGAAGTGTCATGCAGTCGACGTTCACATGACACCACTAAGGGAATAACAACATCCATACTATCAAAATATCAAACACATATCAAGTTCACATGATTACTTGCAACATGATTTCTCCCGTGACCTCAAGAACAAAAGTAACTACTCAAAAATGATAAATATGTTCATGATTAGAGGAATATTAAATAGCATAATGGATATGCACATATAATCTTCCACCAAATAAACCATATAGTAATCAACTACAAGATGTAATCAACACTACTCGTCACCCACAAGTACCAATCTATGGTTCCGGTAACAAGATTGAACACAAGAGATGAACTAGGGTTTGAGAGGAGATAGTTCTATTGAAGATGTTGGTGGAGATTTCCCTCCCCGAGATGGGAGAGTTGTTGGTGATGATGATGACGATGATTTCCCCCTCCGGGAGGGAAGTTCCCCCGACGGAATCGCTCTGCTGGAGGGCAAAAGTGCTCCTGCCCAAGTTCCGCCTCGAGGCGGCGGCGCTTCGTCCTAAAAGTCCTCCTCTTATTTTTCTCCCATGACTTATATACCAAAAGATGGGCACCAGAGGTGGGCTGAGGAGGTCACAACCCACCAGGGCGTGCCTGGGGGGGGGGAGGCTGGCGCGCCCAGGTGGGTTGTGCCCACCTGGTGTCCCCACTCTGGTGGTTATTGGCTCAAGTATTTCTTAAATAATCCATAAATATCTACGTGAAGTTTCAGCTCATTTGGAGTTGTGCAGAATAGGTGGCCTGACGTAGCTTTTCCAGGTCCTGATTTCCAACTGCTAGAATTATCCCTCTTGGTGTGTTCCTTGCAAATTATGAGAGAAAAGGCATTAGAATTACTCCAAAAAGCATTATTATGGAGAAAAACATTATAAATAATAGTAAGAAAACATGATGCAAAATGGACGTATCAATGCGTTGCTTCGTAAGGAGCCGATTTAGGTCTAGATGTTTTATGCTATGGTTAGGTTTACCTTAATACTTCTTTCGTAGTTGCGGATGCTTGAGAGAGGGGTTAATCATAAGTGGGAGGCTTGTCCAAGGAAGGGCGGCACCCAAGCACTGGTCCACCCACATATCAAATTATCAAAGTAACGAACGTGAATCATATGAGCATGATGAAAACTAACTTGACAACAATTCCCAAGTGTCCTAGTGAAACTATAGTCCATCGTTTCCTTCGTCCATCAACCTGACCTGGTAATTCGAGTCTGAGTGGTACATGCGGGACGCCTTCCGGGCCACTTCGTCCCGTACACCTATGTGTTGCACCTCATCGACCCTCGAGCTTCTTATACTCCAATTATTCACTAGTCGCATGGCCGACATCAACAAACTGGCATGGACTTAATGCTGCTTAGCGAAGGCAAAAACACGATTGTCGGCAACACAGAAACCAACAACGCCTACACAGCTTTGGAAACATCCAACATCACTGTCATCCCAAGCACCTGAAGGATCAGTTATGTTGGCTACCTGCAACTCCATCCAGAACTGCTCTGAGTCGGGGGAAGTTGAGGCTAAAGCGGCGTTTTTGAGTGTCAAATTAATGATTGCTAACTAGCCTGGACGGTTCATCCTGGAAACTGACTGCTATAATCAGCAATAATGCTCTCTGTTCGAAAAATCTGGACAAAACGAAGTAGTGTGGAATTGACAAAGAAACAAAGACAGGTTTGCTCTGTCTAGAAGAGTGCCATGTAGTACACACTAAGAGAAAAAAATGCAACAAGGCTACCGACTCAGTGGCTAGACATGCTAGAGCATGGAGTGAGAGTTTGCACGGGGAGTTTGAACACATTTCCCGAGTTGATTAGAGAGCATGTAATCCTTGATTGTAAAACTCATGTTACGGATTGGTAAAAACAGAGCTCTTTTCTCCTTGAGAAAAAGGCACCTTGTGTGCACCACGCGGTTACGGTGCTCTGAGCCGGTGCCCGGGGGTCAATGTTAACACCATTCGAGTTGCTGCCTGTGAAAAAGAGGGGTCCGGGAGAATTTTATTTATGGATGCAGGAATTTTTTTTCATGGATTTTAGATTGAGAGAATTTTATTAAGGGTAAATTTTGTTTTTGCCACTCTAGTTTTTGCCCACTTTGCTTATGCCACTCTAGAATTTGGCATTTCACTTTTTCCACTCTTAGCTTTTGACAACATATTACTTCTGCCATTTTGTGGCAAAAGCAAAAAAATAGAATGGAAATTGTGATACATTGTCAAAAGCTAAGAGTGGTAAAAGTGAAATGAAAAATTATTGTTTTTGCCATGGAATGTCATTTATGATGTATTATCAAAAGCTAAGAATGGCAACAGTGAGATGTCAAATTCTAGAGTGGCATAAGCAAAATTGATACAAGTTAGAGTGCAAAAACAAAGTTTTCCCTTTTATTAATGGATGCAGGATCTTTTTCTCATGGATTTTAGATCGATGGCTACTTTTGGGGCAAACAGGTAACAG